CAATGTCAGGCAGGAGTGAAAAATTCACATAAAATAGGAGGAAAGAGAGTGAAAAATTCCTCCTCATAGAGTGTTGCTTTACACCCAAAGCCGGCAATTCTAGGACAGTGGTTCAAAAACAGCCAATTATGTTTATTGCTTGCATTCTAGCCTTAGGACTCATTCTTAGGGGGTCCTAAAACACATTTTGATGATGCCAACCACCCCAGTAACATCTTTTCTTACCTTGTCAGATCTAAAGCTGTTTTTCAAACACTGCTGCTGTTTGCCCCAAGTTTGTAAAATTGATGAATAAAATTGATGAAATTGATAAATTTTTGGTCAATTGTGTTTCTTTCAATTTTGCACCTTGTTTACAAGGTATCTGCTTGTGAATACGAGAGTTTTAAAACACAAAGATTGCCAGCTGTCACTTGACAGCTTTCAAGCACTTTTGTCAGGAATGTGTTAATATTTGTCAAATCTTCCCTTGATTTAATGCTACTTGATCTAAAGTTCTTTCAAGCATTTGAACAAAATCCACAAATTTTGACCTGGGCACCAACCAAGTCTTGCCTTTAGACAGGATAGGCCAATTCCTTTTCAAAGCAGAAGATAGGCATTAAAAGGATCAGATGAAGATTACCATTTATCACAGACCTAGGCACAGCAACATGCAATCAGCTGTTTATTTTAAATCAATTTATTTTCAATACAAATATATATATATATATATATATATATATATATATATATATATATATATATATATATATATATATATATATCCAATCAGCATCCCATTTATAACAAAAGGTATGAATGCAAACTATGTGCAACATTTCATGAATTACCTAAATGCCAAGTAAAAACAGGTGATGGAAAATCTGTCCAGCCTGCTGATGTTGACAGAGAGAGGGGGGGGGGGGGGAGGGGCCGGTGACACCATGGGTTTTCAACTTGGGGTAGGATTTTCAATGGGGCCCCCTACACAAAATGGGGCTGCCTCAGAGATACTGATGCCATCTAATGCGCTGAACGGGCCCTTTGAATAGGGGGTGCCTCCTAAGCCAGAAAGGGTTTCCTAGCTTATAACACAGCCTCCCGAGCCAAAAAGGGCCTCTATAACACATCACTGCGTTTCCTGATCTAAAGCATGGGCTGCAATATTCATAAATGCATCCTCATGCATCAGAAAATGAGCATGTTAGTGTAGTGAGAGTTCTTCTGAGCCTGATTTATGTCTCTGTAGCTCAGCCATAGGGCCTTCTTGATCTAAATTTTTGCAAACCTATACCTAATCTCTGGCCGCGCACGCCTATTTAGAGGCAGAAATTATTTAATTTTATCTGTGACTTAATTTGATATGCCATCAAATAGGTGCATACCTTCAATCCTCGTCGCTAGCGCACCGCATTTGCCACGCCTCAAGGCGCCCGGGATTCAAAATGATCGCGCGGCCGCGCATCGGCGTAAAGATGGTCGCAAACGCAAGGCGAGTGCGCACGCGCAAACGTGACGTCATAAATCTAACTCGATATACGCAGGTGTGCATTTGTGTGTAAATCGACTCGGATCTGACGTGATTGAGGGCCGTTTTCACTAAATCGACTCATGAGTCTCACTCACACGCTCCCTACGGCGAAACGACAACGTTTCGACCTGTGCTCACACTGCAAGCGTTAGCGAGTACAGACCAACAGTAAGTTTTGAGTTTTGTCAATTTGGGATAATCTGTTGTAATATGGTGTTGTCTGTCACATGTAATTTCATTTTCGCAGTTTTGTCACCGATTGGTTCCCAAAAGTGTCACTTTTCGTCACCGATTATATCCGGTAAATCAGAAGCTATTGGCATGGAGAAGTAACCGAGGTGGATGGTATTGTAATCAACGCAAATGATATTAACGCAGGCGAGCGCGGGGAAATTAACCCTACTCAATGTTTTTTTTCCAGAATAACTTCTGAACGGCGCGAAACAGCTGATCCAATTTTTTAACACCTGTGTTTGGTTGAGTATCCCATATTTTGGTGTGCAAAATCTTATTTACCTTGAAAGCTTTCTGATCTATGTCAGGTTAAAGTTAGGCCATGCCTATCAGCGAAGGCAACACCCAGGGAATGATTCTATCTGACGCAAAAACGAAATGTTAGACGAGGCCATAAATCTTTGAGGATGTTTTTGAGACAATTAGACAATTGAGTATAAGATCATGACTACGTCGATCGACCTTGTGTCAGATATGAATGTCAGAGCGAGGTCAAAACCCAATTGCTCTTTTATCTTAAAATAAACATGCCTCATAGGGTAGTTTGTGACGTTAATTTCGATTCTTTTTTAACACAAAGATATAAACAAGCATTTTATTTGAACTTAATGAAAACCAGAAGATGTCACAGACCAAAAATTGCTGGACCAAGCTTTTGTTTCGACAAACATACCACCTGGCGTAGTCGTGGACACTTAATCTAATTCATGTAACATAACAAAATCTTGTGTTTTTGGTTATTTTGACCTTCTGAAGGTCAAACAAGAGCAGTGAGCTGAACTGAACATCGGTGACCTTTGGCATAAAGGAGGTAGTTAGATTTAAGGGGTGACATGAGGAGGTCTTCGGGCACTTTGGACATCAATATGGAGTCTGACCTTGTTTGACCTTGTGTGACCCGATGTTTACAGCCTAGGGAGCTCAAAATATGATGCAAGTTAGTTGACATACATGCCGGAATCTTGTGTTTCTAGCTCGCTTGGCTTTTTAGATCCAGGTGAGGGCGTTCTAATTAAACCCCTTCCCCAGTGCGTTGCAATCAAACGGCCAGACGGGCTCGGGTTAATCAGAGGAAACATAAGATGCTCCGAAAGAACTCATGAAAATGATTTGTAGCTAAATTGTTCAACTCTTCAAACTGTTAATAAGCCTTTCAATCTGTTAATCGACTTTTCAATCTGTTAAAAAAACGCTCAAGCTGCTCAAAACTGTTCAAAACCCGTTCAACTGTTCAAAATTATCCAAAAACTGTTCTCGCCTGGCCAGGTGCTCAATGACGCACCGCTTTTTTTCTTGGTGTGTACCTGTATCGGATGAAATTCAGCCAGTTGAATTACAACATTGCACGATTTAGTTTGCCATACTATCGACTGTGACGGGACAAGCGTCAGCATGGGAACGCGCATTGACATAGCCACACCAAAGATTCTTATGCGTACATCTCAAAGTCAATTGAAAGTGGAAAGTATTGTTTTGGTCTGGACGTTACTGGCGCAAACGAACAGAAAAGCCGCCAATTTCTTTGTAGCGCCTGTTGGTAAAATTACGTCAGGCAAAAGTACTCTTTGACTAGACTCATTTGAATGTTTATCAGGGTCGTAAAAAGCATGTGTTTTAACATTCGATACATGCCATTTATTCCGCGCTGTATACTTGTTCATCTGAATAAAATCAGGACATGACGCTGAGCTTACTTAAAAACGGGCTAGGCCTGCTGAAAAATATTTCTAAGAACAATCCGCAATAGGACGATAATAACACACCATGACTTTTTGTCGTGGTGTGTTATTCCATAGCATTGCGGACGAAGATGATTTGGCAAAAGGCTTCGCAGTTTCAGTTATTTAAGAGTTGTTCAGGATGGTCGGGAACTGTTCTTTTTCGAATGAGTGTTGCACCTGCATTCATATACAGATGGCCATTTAAAGAATAATGGGCTTGCTCTCCTGTCGATCTCTTAATCGAAATCGCTTTTCCATTACGCCAGATGGAGGCTTGCGCTTAATGTGAGGCTCAGTCCGTGTTGAAACTATTTATCTGTGAACCTCCATAGAACAGGTCAGTGAAGAGCGCAAAGGTCAGGCCAGGTCAGCAGAGATGCAGATTTCCTTTTCTGACAGGGTAAGCTCCTCATGCTTGCTTTTTCTTCGGAAGTATCGTATCCAGTGGGCCGGGCTGACCTTCCTTGCACCACCCCAGCCGGTCAGTGAGAAGTCAAATGCACACTGTGGCGACGACGCAGGCGTTGTGTCACTGAAGACGAGCCTGGCATGGCGGGCCTCGATTTTGAAAACTTTTAGCACAATATCATTTAGTCTTCAACTTAATGGCATGATGGCATTACCACCTAGATAACTTGTTTTGTACATAAGTGCACGCCACAACAGGCGCGTGAACGTCCGCAAGCATTAGTAGGCTGCATGGTCGTTCTCAATGCTGTCGTTCCGTAAGACGCTCTGTCGTTCGGCTACCGTAGAGCAACAAATTGACGCTGATTCACCCAGAAACGCGTTAGTGTAAACCGCCCTGTTTATTGCGCAACTATCGTGACATTCCTTGATGCTGCATTTGTAAGGACACTCGTGTGTGGTTAATAAATTAGTAGGTGATTACCATGGTGGATGAAAGTAGCACAGAAAATATTTGCATCTCACTGGTGTTTACTGATAACTTTCCAACACTGCGGCTCAGTCTGCCCACATTGCCATCTCTCCCAGGAAAGGCACGACTAAAAGAGCATTTCACGTGGTGTTAGTCAACTGTCAGCGGTTAGCACAGTCCAGTTCAGATTATACGGAAACAGACTGGACCGTAAGGTGGTTTTGTTATCGTGGTGACCAGCCAGTTGCTGCTTATTTCCTTGCCACTATACAAAAACCATTCTGCCAGTAAAACCGGCAGTCCTGGATTCTTGGTTACATTAATAACGGCAGGACAGCCGCAAAGCCAGACTTGTTCACCAGCCCCCCCCCCCCCCCCCCCTCCCTTTGGCAGTATGCACGCGAAACACTGGGTCTCCATCCGAGACCGATCAAGCGCGGATTGGATCCAGCGCACATAGAGACATGGAGACCGCACACTTCACCCAGCACCTACCCGAGCCCAAGTGCTTCCAATCAGGCCAAATCTTAGCGTTACGTGTCGGAGCCACTCAACGCCGGCGTCGAGGCACCGCCAGCCGCAGCGGCGCGGCTCGCTGGCGGCCTCCGCTCGGTGTCGTGTCTGGCGGCGGCGCGGCGCCGGGGCAGCGCCCCTAGCCGGAAGAGACGGCGCGGCGCGACGATGACGTGTAGCGAGAGCCAGTGCCGGCCGGACGGGGCCCGCTGCGGTACCGGCCGCCACCGCTGCTGTGTGAAGACGACGACGAGCTCGAGCTGTAGGTATGGCTGTAGCTGGAGCCTGCGAATGGACGGACGCGCGAGGTTCTATACGTGCGTTATTTGGGAGCCGTGAGAGCACGCACATCACGACACAGTAACCGACAGTGAACTGTTGAATGAGTTGTCAGCTTGCACTATGACACCGTGTCATAACCTTTGACTTCTGTACCGTTCTCTCATTTTCTTGCAGTAGGTGACGAATGGCACTCCTGTCACCGCTCTTATGCACGTAAGCTTTACCTGAGTCGTTTTCACGGTGCGTTATAAGATGAAAAGCTTTCAAAATGTTTCTTGAAATGTTTCCACGATGTTTTCGTATATACCAGCCAATAAGAGAGAATGGGGTGCGTTGTATCATGTCCAAGTATTATCACGGCGAGTTACTCTAAATCTATGCGACAGGTGCCGATCTTGAGCCACTTGGCTGGCGCTCAGCACCGCCGTCTGTCCATCTTGTAGCGTACTTTCAGGTGCACACGTGCACGCGTCTCGAGGTGAGCGCGAGAAACAAGTTTTTCGTTGTTGCATATCCCTGAAAACTCCAGCAATCAGTGGCAATGTGCGTTTAAGGTCTTACGACATAGTCAAATTAATCTGAATGCCATGCTGAGTGGTTGTAGCACATGTACCGCATATGCCGTAAAACATTCGGCGTCTGCTTGCGAGGGATTTTGGGGTGGCGCAAGCCTTCGTCCAAGACGTCGGCGATGCATGTCCTATCAGCTGTGCAAGTCGGCATTTACAGCACATGAATAGGTCCATAATTGCTACGCAAGCAGCTGAAACCGAGCTGGCGGTAGCCGTAAAATAGACATTGGCTCATTAGAAAGAGGAGAGATTTGTCATGTCCACATCAGGGCGGATTGCAAATAAGCCGAGACGGGTGTGCGCTGTTTGCATATCGGGACACATTCAGCAGCTGGCTTCCTATGCAGCCTTCTCTTTGAAAACCGTACAACTTCCTCCACGATGTGATGTAGTTTACCCCATGGTGGGGTAGGTTGTAGCATTTGAAAGGGGTTCATTGAGAAGTCATTTACCAAAAAAGTTGAGGAGCTACTCCCCAAAATGCTACCGCTACATATGTACCTGAAGGTTGTAACAGTCTGAGATGTGAACATCTCAGTCATATTCCCAGTAATTATGGTATGGGGGAGCTTAGAGTAAGCCCTGATATAATTATCCCAACTTTGCCCTACTAACCACTTTCACAAACACCTAAAACGATGAAGACCGTTTTCAAAAGTTTTATGAATGCTTTAAATAAATTTTGGCATATATTAGACAGTTTGAAAAAACACAGTGGTTTGCACGCAACTTCAAAATATTCAATAGCCAAAACACGTTTATCAAACTGAGAAAACGTTTTGGATAAGACACGAGCCTGCTTATAGACATTTACGTCTCCATTACACGGCTAGTTCAGACTAGCACAAGTTCATCTACTGCTCAGTATAGTATCACGCTTGGCAACGGCATGGATCGGCTGAGGCCGGCCATTACAATTATTATTTACGTCGGTGTCGTATGGAGCAACAAAACGAGGCAAGATGGTTTTCAGAATCATTCTAAGGGAGTCTTCTAACTTCCTATGAGGGGGGGGGAGGCTTTGAACTAAAATAACGATCTTCAAGACCTTTTGATGTGGTTCACAGCCCCGCCCTTGCCACGACTTAAATCAGCTCTAGTCTCTGAGCTAAATGTTCGCGAATTTTGAGAACTATTTTCGGGAGAGCGTGTCAAGGTCACCTTGACATTCATTACGTCATATGAACTTTATTCCAATCCTGCCATTCCATAAGCCCTGCTGCGATCAGGTCCGGACAAATGTGATGGTCGAGTCTTGCGTTCTTGAGCACGATTCCGTCTACATCTTGCGTTCGTGAGCACGATTTCCAGATATAGCGGCCGGTAACTGACTTTCAATCAAAGTTGTGCCAGGTACAATGATGTAATCAAGCAATGACGTATCGAGAAGCATATTTACTAAACGGAGAAACCGTGTTGTCTGGAACAGTTTTTATTGTATTTTCAAACGCATACCAATAGCTATAAGGGAGCTTGTTTCACCATATCTGATGCTTGCTCCGATATCTTCAAATGTGAAACATTTTTTTTAAATTCAAGCACTCATCAGGGACTATATTTTAGTAGGTAAGCTTCGTAAGTAACGCATACTCATTCATAGGAATGCAGCCAGGGTGTGAGGGTGCGTTTTGTCGCGGCTGTGTCAGATATGTCACCGATTTTTTTGGAAAATTTCGAAAGGTTCGGTAGTTATAGATTTGGCATTATAAGTGCTTGTCCAAGCACTATCATGCTTATGACCAACAAACCGTGGCATGAGCACAAATACCCGTCTTTTCAAATATGTTTTTAAACCTCTGAAAGACATTCACAGCCAAAGAACGATCATAATAGCAGCGCCGTTAATAAACGTACGTTGAAATTTCTTTAAGTAGCTTTGAAAAGCTTCACACCATAACTCCTTGTGAAAACGGCTTCTTAACACTTCGACAAGAAAGCGTTTGCTCTCATGTCATTGCATTGGTATTCAATAGCCAAGCACGTATATCTAACTGACGCATAAGCCCGATCTCAGGCTAATGCCGAAGGGACTCGGTGTCGGAGCAGCAGCTGTGCATTATTGTACGGCTAAAATACGAATATACGCAGCTCAAGTTTATCTTTCAACTTCCCTAACACTACGACTTACCACTGCCAGAGGCGCGGGAAACGCGTTCAAATTCCGGGGACTCGAAAATGCCAAAACGGGCCCTCTCAGATTAGATAGTAAGCCTATACAAGTGCGAATTGACGCTTTAAATATATCTTAGATCTACAATTCCCTGCATGGACACTCCACGGTCAATAATGGCCGCCTACAGCTTAAAATGGGCCTCCAAAAGCCGAAGTGGGCCCTCCAAGTAAACAATGGGCATTCTGCAGGCCAAAATGAGCGCTTTGTAGGCTTAGAATTGCCCTGTTTTGGTCAAAATGAATCCGAAGTAGGCCAGAATCAGCCTTCGGCAAGCCAAAATAGACTTTTCGGGCTTAACGTACCAGAATGGCCACACCACAGGCCCTCCTAGTTAGATGAGGGATCGCCATCCCATTTTTCAAGATGGGGGTGGGGCGAGCTGCCCTCACTGCTTCCATTTATCGCATCCTTGATCACTGCCCTCCACCGCCTTGCAACAACGACGCTGGATGCGTCACACATGGGCACACAAACTAAGGGATCCTTCTCACCTTCTGGTGTACCAGGTACCACCCCACTCACGGTGTCTGACGTACCCGGCGCCACCTCACACATGTATGGCATACCCACCTCAACCACACTCACTTCCTCCGGCATACCTAGTATGAGCCCGCTCACCGTGTCTGCTGGCTCATCGCGTGCAGGCGATACTTCGCTCAACTCACCGCTTCCGTTGTACTCTGTACGGCTGCTGTGGAAGGACGTGCTGCCGGCGAAGGTGGCCTGGTGCGCCAACTCGGTTGGCACCAGCACCTTGTCGATCAGGTGCAGCACGCCGTTGGTGTTCATGATGTCGCGCTTCAGCACGCGCGCCTCCCCCACCTGCCGGTGAGCCGTGCTGAATAATTGATAATGGCGCGGTTAGCGACGCCGGTAACTATGACGTTCATCAGTCTCTCTTCGCTACATTCGTGAGGACAACGAGGTCGGGGAAGGGTCACTGCGGTGAAAGTTAAGCGCGGACTTCCCCCCCCCCCCCCCCCATCTAGAGTGCAACATTCTGATAACAAAGACACTTGGCGAGGAGGGGTACGGACACTCTCTTAACAACCGACAGGTGACTTTCCCGGTGCTTGTGTGCCCGAAGCGGCGCGATGACGTGGCCACCCCTGGCCGATGTGCGCAAGATCACGCCGACCCGAGGCGGCGGCAGCGGCTGCGCGCCGGCCGACCAACGCACCATCAGCTCGTCGCCTTCGTAGTGCAGGTCGACCGAGCCGTGCTGGGTGGCCACCTGGTAGCTTAGGTCGTGCTGGAACGAGCCTGAGCTCAACAGGCGGGCGGAGACGTGATTCTTGACTGTCTGCGAACGGCACAGCACTCGGTCAGCGTCGCAGTCTGGGTGGCACCACGAGTCCCGGTCACTACGGGGCCCAAGTCCCGGTGTGAATAGTCGACGCTAGAGCCGCGTCAGGCATGGCCGTGCGACAGCCCAGCCTCTTTGTCTGGGATCGTGGTGTAAAGCTCCTTTACATTCGGGACCGACAAGAGCGGCAGCAGAAGGCAAGACAGACGCACAAACATGTGGGATAAAACCATGTTGCTTTGAGGTTTGTGTCGATCCCCCCCCCCCGCCCGCCAGTGGTTCTAAAATATTATTTGGGATCCATGGGTGATGTGCATAATAAGTGCAGCTAAGATTCTACCTTGCATCTCTCTCCTCAATCGATTTCCACGGAGTAACACATCTGTCCGCTGCCGGTTCCTCTACGTTAGTGGTGCGTGCGCCTACAGACCACAACCGGAAAAATGGCGCCATCTATCACGGCCATGTGGCGCCCCTAGCAGAGGGTCGCAATGTCGAAACTGCGGCGCCTGACTCAGGCCAACTTGGCTTCGGTCCGCCACACTCGCGTGGCATTGCCATCATTGGTGTCTGGGCATATGTGTCCTCGTCATTTCCGCGGGTCATGGCGGGAGTTCTGCTGCTGTCGCGCTACCGCACTGCTGAAACCAATCTACTGTCGCGCTACCGCACTGCTGAAACCAACCTACTGTCGCGCTACCGCACTGCTGAAACCAATCTACTGTCGCGCTACCGCACTGATGAAACTCATCTGCTGTCGCGCTAGCGTACTGATGAAACCAATCGAAACCCTGGGGTGAGCTAAAGAGGAGGCTGGACAGGAGACAAAAGCGAAACCAGACTCAGCCAAGGCAGATACCGCTACATTAGCTCTGAGCTGGTGTTGAAGAGCGTGACTGCTGTTGGTGCCATTTTTGGAAACACTTTACCAGTGGTGAGGGGAGAGAAAAAGGCGGTTGTTTCAAACGCGTCCACAAGCACCCGAAATGCAGCCTTGGACGCGGGTGAGGGCTTTACAGCCACGGAACATGAATACCGATATAGGATTTACCTAGGTTTTCTGCCACCCCCGAAAGAGGCATACCTTTCTGGTTGATTACATCCAGCCCACAGTAAACATTTTTGTTAAGGAAAGTTGAAGCGCTTCGTCATTTATGTAACATCACTATGCACCGGCGGTTTTGAAAACAAAAATAAGTCGTGACCTTTGCGATTCCCACAGCCTGCCCGTGCGGGCGTAGAAATGCAAGAGAAGCATGGGCTTCGCAGCCTCTATTCTATGTCTAGTCGGTATGAGGCGACATGTAAAGACGCATTGACTTCGAGACGTTGGCAACAGCGAGCTGCAGAGCCATCGAGCGACCGAGCACCGCACCCAACACGGTCCGGTGTGCCTCGCCTTGGTGAGGAGCTCGATGTCAGACATCAGCGCGTCCACCCCTGCCTGTCCCAGCGCCTGGAAGGCGTCGTCAGTGGGCGCGAAGATGGTGAAGACGCCGTCGTTCCGCAGGTCCAAACTATGTGGGTCCGCGGCCATCACCCTCTCCATCGCCGACAGTAGGATGCTGGCGGCGGAGACGGTGGTCACCCAGTCTGCCTCGCAATGAGGCTTTGAGCCCGGAATGTTTTGAAACGATTCAGCGGACACCGGCAGAGACAGCATGTCGAATGCCTAGCAACACTACCCAAAAACTATCCAGAGTGGGTTTTCGATCATCCACTGGTGACGTAGGTGTTCCTGTTCAAGTACAGCAGGGTGGAACAGGCCCTACCTGAAGCGACCGTCGCGACGCAGGACGTCAGCGGCGCTCCTGTTCGAGGGAAGCAGGACGCGGTTGATAATGTGCATCACGCCGTTCTGGCCCTCGATGTCGGCCTGCTGGATGATGGCGTCCTCTACGGCCAGGGCGCTGCGGTGCACGTGTAGCCGCAGTGGATTCTCCTCATCCAGCGACATCACCACCTGGGGCGGAGACGGCAGCGTCACGGGAAATGAAGAAGGGGAGGGAGAAGAGTGAGACGAAGTGGTGGGTAAAGCGTAGGGAGAGACACAGTGAGGGAGTAGGCAGAACGGAGGAAGGACGAACATAACTAAAAGAGGGAGCAGAAGGGAAGCTAGACGGAAAGGAAGAACTCGCACGGACGGCGGTGACCAACGGCCATCCAGTGCGAGCTGCAACCTTGTCAGCCCGAGCACCTGATTGTCGGAGATGTCCTTGCTGAAGATGCGACCCTGAGTGCCGTGGAAGAGCAGGAGATCACGCGCCGCCTCCGTGTCGGACCTGGCCGCTTCCATCAGGCCCTCGGGTACAGCTGCATGGCCACACAGTCAACGTGCGAGGTCATCTAGTGGCACAAGGGGTACAAGTGCTCCCCGCCCCGTCTCACCGGCGCGCAATCTTTTCTGAGAACAAGTCTTGCTTTCCTGCAACAATGGATACGCCAACACGCTGGCAATGAAAGGCACCCTACAAGAAATATCTTCTGGCCAACGCAATGATTTATGTTTCCAACGTTCACATTACGCGAAGATATCTTCCCCTCCAGCAATGCCATCGCATGACACCGTTCTGCACTCAACGCCATCCCCCATACGGTAGTCCAGATATCGGACTACAGACCTCACCAAAATAAACTGTCCCGGCGGGCAGCAGTCCACCGGTACCTCATTTTTGCATAACAAATACGGGATAACATCTCCATTGTCAGTACCCTGCACGACAGTCGGCAGCGGCACCACAATTGACTCACTGAGGAAGGCGTTCTCATCGGGTACGAATATCGTGTAATCCCCGAAGTCGCCGAACGCCTCCTCCAAACCAGCTACGCGTACCAGGTTGAGGAACGTCAACAGCTGGTGCTTCTCCGCCAGCTCCAGGAAGTTCATGGCTGAAGGCAGGCACGCGAAATCACCAACAGGTTAGCCTGCTGCATCTGGTAGATAACAAGGATGGGTTTTCCTGTGCCTTTTGAATGTGACTGCCATACAAAACTCTATGGAAGTATCATGCCTGCCATACCCATCTAGTTTTTACATGAGCCTGAAGATGCATTAGTATTTGTTTTGTTTGTCGATTCTTGTAGTTAATCCGGCTATACAACAGACCAGTGCAGGCGCTGAACGCCCTGGTACCTCGGTTGTGTTATGGTGTGCTGGGTACATATGATGACACACGGTACCTCTCTCGCCAAAGTAAAACTGACCTCTGTCGGGTATAAGCAGGTCGTCCAACATGTGGATGACTCCGTTCTGGCCCGCGATCTCATCCTGTGTGATCTTGGAGCGGTCCACAAACACCGAGTCCCTATAATCGACGAGGCATTACATAGTGGATCACCATCATAGATCACATGCCTCTGCAGAGAACACCTGGAAGATAACTCGTGCGGATGATGCTAGGATCAATGGCATACTTCTTACGGACAAACATCACTGCTCCGGGAGTAAACGAAATAGTACTATGCCTGCTGTGGCGACGGTTTCAGTGCAAATCACATGGTTTTCTCTTCAGTTAAGAAGCCAGGGAATGGCCTCTAACTGTGCAACTTGTTCATTCGCCACGGGACTGCGTACGCAGATTCGTTACAGCAGAGTCAAGGCGTGTAACGGAGGGCCTGCCGTACATAGAGATCGTCTTCGTGACAGACCTGTTGCAGTTGAACTCCAGCTTGCTACCGGACTCGGACCTCATCTTGTGGTTTCCAATGACCGCCGACTTGCACACGGGATGAGGTATGATGTGGTTCTTGAGGAGAGCTAAGAACACACACGTCATGAGATGGCTCGCAATGCGGGATATCGATCCTTCATATCACGGTATCTTCTTGCTCATCAATAAGCGATTACCTGACGAAGCGAGTGACTGCCGTGAAATTCACGTCTGGATGACACACGGCGTGCTACTGGGCATTTCCCGCGGGTTAAAGCTGCACTCATTATGATATCTGACGTTTGGCGAGAAAAAAAGCGTTTTCAATTTTCAAAAATAAACGAATAAACCTCGTGGAGCTGCAGAAGACATGCAGATGATTACAAAATGAATTGACCAAAGCCGTTAACTTACCATCCCGTGCCACCTTATCGTTCAAGATTTTCTCGCGGCGTCTCTCGGGGAGCTTCTGGAACGCCTCGTCAGACGGCGCTAGTATCGTCAACGCACCGGGCATACGGCGTAACTCCTGGATATAGCCTGAGGCCTCCAGCGCCTCCGCCAGCACGCTGAATCGGCCGTCCTGTTCGCACAAGCCAGATGGCGTCTTCGTCAGCGTTGTTTGAGGGCTTTAACGTCGTGTCTTTTCCATGCGTTGCATTAGCTAGGAACATTATTCACATAGATAAGGCAGTAGCATTAGCCTTATTCCTCAGAGAAAAGCCAGGAAAATGGAGATATAGCTGGGTTGATATTTCGGCAATATGCATTTATCGAAACAATAGCAGAAGTCAATTTAAAATTGTCTGCCACTGACCTCGATTTTTCAGTTTTTTTTTTAAGCAAGCCACCGTTTTTACAAGACATCAACATTCAAGGGATTAAGCAAGGAGCGACTGCCAGCCATTACCAAGATACGCTGCCTATCTACGAATTAGAATGCACGAACATACCTGTACATGCAAACGAATTGAAGCAAATAGGCATCACGCATCACGGATCATTCAAACATGCAGGCAAGTTGAAGCAAACAGGCATCACGCGTCGCTCATCAACTATACATACAAACAATTTCAATTGACCAGGCATCGCACATCACGCCTCAGGCATCATTTGTACATGTAAACGATTTTAAGCTAGCACACATCACACATAAAGGCACATATCATGTTTGCATAATCGGCCATGATGAGCCCTATATGTTAACACGCACCCGGATGGTCGGCTAGATTCCCTTCGCTCGGGTGGGGGGTCAATTTGACCCCCCTGAGATCTCGGGAACTAAGAAAGCTAGAGACACTAAATTTGCAGGGTGTGTTAACCTGTACGTGGACTCACGCAGATCAATGTTTCAGGTTTCTAGGTTATGACCTTTGGGTCAAAAAAGGTCAAACAATGTCAAGTTCCAGGTTGGTCTCCAAAATGCTCCCAGACCGTAGATAACCATTTCTAAGCAAAAGGTCACATTCTCATTTAAAGTCAGTGACCTTGTTTGACCTTCTGAAGGTCAAAGTGACCAAAATCATACAGCATTACTTTGAGTTTTGCATTTGAGTAAGCGACAAAGATTAAGCTAGGCAGTATGTTCCTAAAACAAAATGTTGACCTAGGTCACTTTAGGTCAATGACCTATTCTGACCTCCAAGAAGCCCATGGAAGATGTATAATGCGGTTCCAGCCATCAATTAACTCGAAATGAGCAACAGAAACTATCCCATACGGCAAGCCCTAGAGTAATAAAACAGGTTGGTTTTGACCTTGGTGTGACCGTTATACCTGACTTAAGTTCAATGTAAATTGCTCATTCAACTGCTTTGTTGCCTAAGAAAACATCCCAGATACGCATGGCTTCGTCTAGCACTCCGTTGTTGGGCCAGATTTAACGATTCCCTAGAAATTGTCTTCGCTGAAACCATGACCTGACTTTGACCTGCCTTAGGTCAGCGACTTTACAAGGTACATCTAAATTTTTAAGCCAAACGATCCGCTACTCAATTGTCTACAGCTATGCAAAATTTTGCCCGGCTACATCGCGCCGTTCGGAAACCATTCTGTAAAAACCTTTGGGGGTCAATTTGACCCGCCACCCGAGCGTGTGTCAAGATTTGGTCGCCGACTTTTTATGAGAATAGATTCACTTATTCTCTTGTCTGGGTGGTCCTGTGCTCTGTAGCTGACTTTGGGCTCTAAAAGGGCTATAGGTTCCATACTTCTCTCGATTTCAGCCTGAGCGTGTTTTGCCAAAAAGCGGTCACCGAAAGGGGTGTTCCCTGTTTTGTTTTTAGCGTCTCGCACATGTTCATTACACCTCAAACGAATAAGGCCCATGGACTCTCCGACGTAGACTACGTCCCTCCCAAGTTTTCACATACATTACCCGGGCAGGAAAATAAGTGAATCTGTTCTTATAAAAGTCGGCGACCAAATCTTAACGTACAGGGCTAATCATGACCGATTATGCGAACGTGATTTGTGCCTTTGTTTGTGGTGTGTGCTAGCTTAAAATTGTTAACATGCATAAGTCATGCCTGATGCGTGATATACGATGCCTGTTCAGTTGAAATCGTTTGCATGTATAGTTGATGTGCGATGTGTGATGTCTGTTTACTTCAATTCACTAGCATGTTTGAATGAGGCATGACGCGTGATGTTTATTTGCTTGAATTCGTTTGCATGTACACGTATGTTCGCACATTCTAATTCTTAGGTAAGCACTGTATCTTGGTAATGGCTGGCAATCGCGCTTGTTTAATCCCCTGAATGTTCGTGTCTTGTAAAAACTGTGGCTTTCCGTTTTTAAAAAACCTGAAAAATCAAGTAGGTCATCAACAGGTAATTTTAAATTGACCTCTGCTATTGTTTCGATAAAGGCATGTTGCCGAAATATCAACCCAATTATATCTCTATTCTCCTGGTTTTTCTCCGAGGAATAAGGCTAATATTGCTCTCTTATGGTGTCTTTTCCCAGCGCTTAATGTCAAGCAATGAGCAGCAGCTATCTCCAGAACAACAACGAGGTGCCTCGCCCCAGTCAACCAGGTGATCCCTTCGGTTACCTGTTCAACCTCTGCCTTGCCAACCCGCGTCACCAGATCGAACATTGCCTCCTCCGCCGCGCCCACCCGCCCGAGCTACTAAATCGACCCCTGAGCTGCTTCATTCGAGCCACCAGATCTTCATGTGATGAGCCCCACTTGAGTCACCCCATCGAGATGCCTCGCCTGGGCCACCAGATCTCCCTGCTCTTCGCTCGACCTGATCACGAGATTCGCCACCGTCTCAATCACCTGAGTCAGCTATATGAGACGCCTCGCCTGTGCCATCAATCTCCCTGCTGTCCTCGCCACCTGATCACGAGACCGGCCACCGTCTCACTCATCCGAGCCACCTGACTGGCTTATCAGATGCCTCACCTGGACCATCAGTCTCCCTGCTCTCCGCGCCGCCTGAGCACGAGATCAGTCACCGTCTCACTCACCTATACCACCAGATCTCCCTGCTGTCCGCGCCGCCTGAGCACGAGATCAGTCACCGTCTCACTCACCTGTACCACCAAATCTCCCTGCTCTCCGCGCCGCCTGAGCACGAGATCAGTCACCGTCTCACTCACCTGCACCACCAGAACTCCCTGCTCTTCGCGCCGCCCGAGCACGAGATCAGTCACCGTCTCACTCACCTGTACCACCAGATCGATCACTGAGCGGCTGCTGAGAAAGCTGGGGTCTAGCACGGCGTCGATGAGGTGAACCACGCCGTTGGTGGCCTTCTGGTCCTTCCTCACCAGCAGGTTACAGTTGACCGTCGTCATCTGGGGGAGGTGTTTGACACCCTTCGATCAACTGTAAAACCATGAGATCGACGACAGGATGAAGACAACTGACCTAAAGGGCTTATTCTGCTTAATGTTTAAGAAAAGACGCACTTGTTCTGAGGGATTGCCTGCATGAAAGTGTTGCGGTTGAACGCGTTTGTTGGAGACGAGTGCGGTGCGAGAGTTGGTCTGACGCCAGCTCGTCCGTGCGAGAGTTGGTCTGACGCCAGCTCGTGCGTGCGAGAGTTGGTCTGACGCCAGCTCGTCCGTGCGAGAGTTGGCCTGACGCCAGCTCGTCCGTGCGAGAGTTGGTCCGACGCCAGCTCGTGCTTGCGAGAGTTGGTCTGACGCCAGCTCGTCCGTGCGAGAGTTGGTCCGACGCCAGCTCGTGCTTGCGAGAGTTGGCCTGACGCCAGCTCGCCCGTGCGAGAGTTGGTCTGACATCAGCTCGTCCTGGCGAGAGTTAGTCTGACGCCAGCTCGTCCGTGCGAGAGTTGGTCTGACATCAGCTCGTCCGTGCGAGAATTGGTCTGACATCAGCTCGTCTGGATCAGAGATTCGCGCTCGTCCCGATCCACGACGGTCAGGCATGGCTTTGAGGTAACATAGCGGAAACGGTACAGCAACACAGGGACCGTCATAGGTAAGCAAGATAAGTAGTTTACGGTAGTAGGACTGACATTAGAACTGAAGTCGTCGTGCAGGTGCGCTGGTGTAAAGGTACACAGGTGTACTAGCGTAAAGGTGTTCAGATGTGCAGGTGTACAGATGTAGGTGAGTCGTACTCCACACATCTGGGAACAGTCACACTCAAGACCACCTGAGAACACGGCACGGCCAATCAAGTAGAAAGTCACGGTCCTTCCTCGCTCGCCGCAACATGAGTCTGTCAACGAGGCCAGCGGGGATGCGCAACAAACTGTGTGCTGCAAGGCTGAGAAGACATTTTCGATAAACGGCGCACTTGCAATCCAGTACCTCATCCATTTCATCCACGCTGAGAGTCAGTACAAGCGGCCTCTGGCGAATCCCCGCTCTACTCCTCACCTATGAAGTGGACGCCGCAGCGCTCTGACCTGGTTGGAGTATTTGTTGAGCCTCAGCTTGGCGCCCGCGCTCTTCGTCTCCACCAGCTGGTCGGCTCCCATGTCCTTGGTGGTCAGCTTGCCGTCCAGCAAGTGGTACAACAGCACCGGGCTGCGGGGATCGCCGGCGCTGGCTTCCAGCGTTCCCCTCAGGCTGCTTGACATGCGCTGACGGCAACGGACAGACGGCAAGCAGGTAAGCTGGACGCCTGGAAGGGGCTTACGCCGTAAGCTTTAGAGAATGAAGGAATGGTGCACTGAGCGGAAACGGATGGCAGAGAGCTGCCCAAGGTGCCAAGGATTACCAGACTCAAAATAGGGATGTGGTAAAGCCTCCATCTTCACTTCGAAGCACTTCGGACGAAGTGCAGCACGCTCGAACTGAGCGCGAACCAGAGCTTTCAGGCTACTCCGGCGACTACGTCACAGCCCCTGGCGGATCGGTTTTATCAGTCATAGCAGACTATAAAAACATCGGACAGTCAAGATGCAGCGCGCATTCTCACGGTTGACCCCGGCGTCTGACCTGGAATGCGGCGTCCGTGGGCAGGAACAGGGTGAAGGCGCCATCCCTGCTCAGTTCCGGCGCGAGGCCAGCCGCGGTGACGGCTGCCACAAACCTAGCACCCAGATGTTACCAGTGCAGACATACAGACATACAGACATACAGACATACAGACATACAGACATACAGTGGCAAACGGTGCAGTCACTCAGGGACACGCGATGCAGCGCAACGACACGCTCCGCAGATATTGAACGAGCTGCACTCCTTCCAGCGAGATTCTCCCAACACGCGGACGACGGCACACCCTCGGAGGCAAGGCACACATCTAGCGACGATCAGTGATGCGTCATCAGGAGCCGTCTAGTGAGGACGACCAAGATGGCGATTAAGTTTTGCTTTACTGACTGGAATATGTCATAATCTGAATATATAGTTATTCTCTGGCTGGCAAGAAGAGCCGTGCGAAGTTTCTGATGCAAGGATGAATCGGCCCCGCGAATTTTCTGGCCATGAGCCCAATTGGCCAGGTCAACATGCCGCGCCCGATGAGCCCAATTGGCCAGGCACGCCACGACATAGGGTCAGCGAGGCGCGCATGGCTCGTGGAACGAACTGAATCACTCCGGCAACTGTGCCACCACACTCCGACTGCCATTCCGACAGGTCTGCCCTCGAGCGGGAGTCGATCTGACTCACCGACGGGCCCCAAGGTCCTCGGCTGTCTGCAGGATGTTCTTCAGCGGCTTCACGGATGTGCAGTTCTGGTCCTCCCCTAACTGTTGGTACCCTTCGCAGCACTCATAACGGATTATTCTGCAAGACATTGGCAATGTTATGAGATGTCTCAGTCACACATGAAAACGGGCACCGGCATAATCGACTGATATTGATGGTAGATATTAATGCCTCGTCCTAACCCTTTCGTAAAACTATGGATATATATGCATATATATATATATATATATATATATATATATATATATGTGCGTGTGTGTGTGTGTGTTTATATATATCTTGACATTTAAAATAAACGTTATAATTGTTGAAAAATAACCATCACTGTGGATGACTAAAAGTCACACCAGGATCAAGCAAGCTGCTGCGCTTGGTTTTGTCACTTTTGCACCTTATCATATGCTGCGGACAGCGAAATACACGCTATCGCCCACCTTTATCTTTTTAAGAGCAGGTTTGAGCAATGCCAGCGTCCAAGCAATGTGTGTACAATGAAGTAATAAAAAAACAAACGTTCAACAAGCAAACAGATCCCTGGGTGTGATCACCCAGCTCGGGCATCACATACCATAACTTGTGAAACAGGTATCCCGGCGAACGGAGCGTTTACCGTGTACCGCAGCAAGACAACTTGACGTGCCACACAAAAAACTGCACTAATTAACTGCCTGCGTCCGCTGCGGGCAACTCACGTTTTCTGTCCACAAATCTCCCTATTTATCCAGTAGCGGCACTCGGTCCAGATCTCAGTGTATGTGCCGGGAACCTCCTCCACCACGCAGGCGTTTGGCCTGTCAGGACGAGGTCAGGGTCATGACGACGACCCGCCGCGCTGAATGACCGTCATGCGGCATGAGCCCGACGGCTCTGGCCGTGGACATGGTGTGGATACGTGGTGTGGACATATGGAATATGAGGAACCACATTCAGGGGCCCCGAGAGCGGCTTGATCACGCAGGCAGCGCGAGAATCCTGGGACAAACGCGAGTTTAAACAAAAGCCGTAGGCATTTGCATCTATACCACAAGCACACGTACAAACACTCACATAATCAGCTACACACTCACTGTTGAACAACGGTAATGCGGCCACTTTTACGACGTGCTTTGCCGTCTTTTCAGCATGGACTAAAAAACTGCTGCCATTTGCAACTAGCTGAACAATTCACACAGGATTGTAACGACGCACAGAGAAACCTGCAAGCAGACAAGAGAATACCAAACGAATCAGGAAAATATGCCGCAACTTTCAAAGCATTGAACTAAAAACGGTACCTCAGCAGGCTCCATCCTCGAATCAGATTGATTGAATTTACGTTGACGACTCAGCAGATGGCTGCGCACTGCTGGTGGCCTCTCCGCTGGGCGTCCGGCTCGGTAGCTACAGGCCGGGCTAGGCTATTGTTGGGCGCTCGCTGTGAGTCGGCCGGCGGACCAGGTCCGTGCGCCGTGAGAAAGTGTGACTCGGCGTTGTTTTTGGACAGGCGCGGGCAAACGTCACCTTGAGCGGCGGCCAATATTTTGACAGCGACAAATGGAGCTTGAAGCGACGCGGCGCGCCTGTCGTCGCCGACGCCCTCCCCCCACCCACCCACCCCCTCTCTTGCCGGTCTCGACCGGTGCTGCGGACCATCGTCGAGAGCGCGGAGGCAGGCGCAGCAGCTACGTGTATCGCGTTAGCGGCGGTCATCATCTCAAAGCCGACAGAACGTTTTGCGAAGCCCCCATAACATTGTGGAGGTTGATGCGAGCGAGCGCCAGCTGCCATCTGCGTTGGACAGATCCCTGTTATAGACCGATGGTGACAGCCACCACGCAAGGAAGCTGACGGCGCTGCCAGACAACAGGGCGGAGGCCTGCAGCGAGGGGCACGACGGGCAGCAGTGCAGCGACTTGATGCGGCGATCGAGATGCACCGGGTGGGACGCTGGTGGGCGTGATAACACGGGCTCTAGGTGTGGTCCGGCGCGGCCTGCAAGTTTATGGGGTTTGGCTGGCGGTGGCGGCCCACTGCAGGCCAAAGCTGTGGCCTGAATAAAGAGCACGCTATAGCAACAGGGGTAGTGCGGTCTGCGATATGCAACCATGCTGGCAGGAGGCAGCATGTCATGGACCAGACCTAGTGAGTGGCTCCATATGTTTATCTCAGCGTTAAAATACAGTAATGAGCACATAAGCTGCAGCTGCAACACCTGCATAAACAAATGCATTATTTCTCCGTACTTTGTCTTTTTCAGCTTGATACGTACTGTGTCGAACAATATGCCTATAGAATATTTTGAGAGATGCAGTGCTTAGGTCATGTGTAAAATCACGGTGTTCGTGAAGTTATGTTTATCACCTGATAATGCAAAAACAATATTTTGTTCTCATCTCGGGAAGTTACGTGCAGGTCCCATTTAATGGACCACAAACTCA